ATAGTAATTCGGGTATGAAATCACTTTGTTAAAATTTACCGGCTAAGCTAACTTACACCGTACAGATCATGATAGTACAACATGGCCGATACGTGAGTTCTCGACCACCAACAGCAGCGCTGCTAGACATGATATCCGCGAAATTTGAATGAGGTACGATTTGAAAGCAGATACGATTTAAGCATAGCTACCCTACACCATATGATAGAGATTTTACCACAGAGATGACGCCTATATTCCACTATCAGGAAGAAAATGTTGTTCTTCTTTGTCCACCGCCTGTGCGATGATCGATTTAGTTCCCGCCTTCCCTTGCTAGAGTCCGTGTGATGTCCATCCTTTCCCCTGCCTCCTATAATCTCACGGCACCGACGGATGTTTAGGCCTTCGGCTTACATGGTGGTTCAAGAATATATAAAAACGGTCCACAAGTCCTTTGTTACTAGGGTTTCACAAATGCGAATCAATGTACCGGAAAGGGCTATTCTCAATTCTATCAAACATCCCTATAGTGTCTGTGCTGATTGAGTTTTACAATTTGTACGATTCTCAAAATATTAGAGGAAACTAGTAGTAACCATACTTCAGATAAAATTAAATTCGGATTGTTGTTAATCCTATGGCCAGACCTTGTCAGATTATTGGGCCATGTCCAGAAATATTGCGTAAATCTCTCAATATGACCCAAATAACGCAAAGAGTTTTATTTTCAGTCCCACATATCTCTCGTATATATTGCCCTCGTCTCCTTTCTGTATACATTGAGCTTAATTCAATGCTGTCTTGATTGAGGTTAGCGATCAAGTTGGAAAATTTTCCCTACCACTTCCATATATGACAAGGTACACTGTATGATCGTTGTTTAATGCTTATCAAGAATCAAAGTATACCCATACCTAATAACCTCGATGATGTAAATTCCTCGAAGTCGGTTTCACCGTAGTGCAAATCAAACCTGACCTGTCTATATAAATGCTGAAATCTAATAACTGTCTGGTGGAATTAAACTGCTTCCTTTTGTGTGGGAGCTTGTTGCATTCCTGCAGTTATTCATCCTCGGTTGAAGTCGATATTGTGTCGTAATGTTACCTTGAGATTACTCAATTTCCTGAAATTGAGGTATAGCGATTTTCTGATTGTGACGATGTCAACTAGGTCATTCTGTTTGAATTCTCACCTTTGGGGGGCGTACTGGTCTTCCGGACCGACCAGTTATAGTCAATTTAGTTGGCTCTTGTTCGTATTTTGACAGTATGACGGTAATTATTGGTTGCCTACGATTTAGGCTTTTTGGCAATGAAATCATTGCTAACGAAATACCCAATACTCAACGACAAAGGTCAACAGGAGTCTATATCTTACTGAAAGATCCTTTAAGGGCTATGGCAGTTGTACTACTGGGCTCCTGAACACATCATATGTTAAGCCAATTATGGAATTTGCTGGACCTGTTTGGAATCCAACCATACAACGTGACCGAGACCTGTTGGGAAATATGCAGAGGAGGGCTACCCGCATCCCATACGGTATCCACCAAACTTGTTATCAGGAGAGGCTAAACCTATTCAACTTAACTCACTTCTCCGATAGACCCTTACGAGGGGACTTGATAATCACATACAGAGTTTTGCATGCTCTCTTCGGCACTGACATATCCTCACCCTTCCGTCTCAGCGCCAACCACCTGCTAGGCCACAACTATAAACTAGGTAATGAAAGAGAAGTCGTCAATTTTTCCTGTGTAACGAAGTATTTGATACCTGAAACATGCTGCCCTACGGCGTTGTTAGTGCATCCACACGACGAACTCTAGTTTGTTTATGACATCTATATTTTTTCTATGTTTAATTTCTTATCTCTGTTTGGAGTTTATAGCTTTTGATTGACTCCTGTATTATGTATAATAATAACAATAAAATACAACTCATGCCTATGAGAGGTAATTAGAATTGATTATTCGACTTCTACTTAATTTGTTCCTAAAAGTACTCGCATGCAGACAAATTTACGTCTGATTAGGACTTAGTGATCTATATGTCACGCTGTGGGGCTCGGCGAGACGTGTTAATCCGAACTGATGATTAGTGCCCTCCTAAAATAATCTTTCAATTGCGTTCGTAGGTAGAAGTTAACTCCAAGTTTAAGCTCAGCGATCCAAAAAGCCATGTACGGTTGCTTGGACTTTATTGTTTGAGATTTTGGGTTTTACTTGAAATATTCCCTAAATGAAAGAAAAACTGACTTTGGGTTGAAACCCATCTAACTGAGAACTTATAGATAGATACATGAAGCAGCATCACCATCACGCGAGCCTTGACTTTTTTTTATTAAAGTATTGTATTACATTGTTATGCCTTACTTAATTCTAACTTGAAACAAGGAAATATGAGATATAGTGATGTCGTATTAAGAAAAAAGGTTTACACGACCAATTTTCAAATGATAATTATGAAGCAACAAAACCAGAACAGCACATGACTCTCTGATATAAATTAGCTGTTCAAGAATTGAAGAGTCGAGCTTTAGCATTGCTGAGCTGAAATATAAATATAAATATATGAATTGTGACCGCATTGTATGTAAAAGACTTCCAGTTTCCATATGATGTGGATTTGAATAAATACAATTTCTTGTTTTGCTAAAAATAATGTTACTTTTACTAACATCACGTTTGTTTCCATTACAGGTACGTTCATAGAGTAATCTTCTGCTATGCCTGCTGTGTGGTGAGTTAAATTACATTGCATGATGACTATTATACATTTGTTGACCTTTGCCCACTGTAGCGTTATCATACTGAGATCTTACTAGGATCGCAGTTCGCTATTCATATCGTGAGCGTCCCGTTTATCAGAATTGTCAACAAAAACACGATATTGCGTATCGCCTAGATTCCTCAACTGGTTATTGGACCAAAATCGACTAATAGAACCTTCTCTCTTTCTTCTACAAAAACTGATTCTCCTCTAGCCGTTCTAACTTCTGTGGTCGATCTCGTCTACAAGCTATGTTAATGACAAGATACTACTAGTATGATCATACGCAAAATTCTATACATATGCTAAAGCACTATTTACTGATCATGTTTCGGCGAGTTTGCCGAACTACTTGTAACGGATAACTACTTCTTGAAGGGAGTCTACTTTAGCAGTTTTCATCCTATATTTCTAAAGTCAATAATACAGGGTGGTTAAAAAAACAGATTAACAAATTGTAAGAAATGCCTAGTCAATTTTTTCTAAATGGAAACGTCCTGTTTTTATAATCTCATCTTGAGCGAAAGAAATAAGGATAGTTTGGTATAAGTTTATCTACTTCGCAAATGATTAGCTTAGGTAATTTTTGCAAATACTCGTCTTCTCTCCTTCCATATGGTTTTTTTCTGCTTATTTCAGCACTGCTGGCCTTGGCGCGGTGAATAACAAAAATTAGTCATAATTAGTGACTTTGTCATATACGAGTGCTGCATAAAAATTGCAACATGATTTCCTGGCCTCGAAACTCGGTCGTACGCGGTGTGTCACTGTTACGTCAGTTGTGTCGACTAGGCTATCACGTGTGTGTGCATTTAATTTCCGGGCACGTTTAGATAGATAGTAATAGAATAACAGTTGCATAGGTATATACGTTATTAATTGCGCTATTTGCTGCCTAAAAATCCTTTATACCTAAATTGACTCAGATGAGGTAATTAAATAATAAAACACGAATATTAATAATCATCTGTTTATTATCCGTGGGAAGTCTTACTAAGAACATAACATATATTTACGTTATTTTAGAAATGTCACACAACTTCGATAATTAAAAAGCCGCATAAAGGAGCAGAAAACGAGCATTTGCAAATATTTCATAAACTACCAGCGAATTAGATCACCATATACAAAACTGTCCTTAAATATATTGCTTGAGATAATTAGATTAAAAAACAGTGGGTTTTCTTTAAAAAAAATGACCTGGCATTCTTAAAGGTTCATCTGATTTTTTTATTCACCATATTTATAAAAATACTAAAGTAGACACCCTTCTATCACAGAGAGGTTAGTTACAAAAATATTCGAAGCATTCACAAGCTTTTATTTAACTACATTTGTGATTTTTTAAACAGAATTTGGTATTTCAAAAAAATGGTTAGACCTAGGTACAGTATGTCGTACATAAAATTTATTTAGAATCACGACTCCAAGTTTTCATCATCATTTTACGTCAACTTTTCGAGTAATCTATCTCTGCAGTTCCACGTGGGGCAGTTACCAGAAGCATAGGAGATGTGATGTGTTCTTTCAAAGAAACACAACCTCATTTCTTAAGCCGCGTACAGACCGAAAATCCAACGCCAAGCAAACGAATGCAAGCGCATGTGATGTTGGCGTTTGTTGTTGGAAGGTATTGGAATGCGCTCGTCTACACGTCGTCTACACCTAAATTTAGTTTCGAGTTGGAGCGTCAGCTTAAGTTCGGAATGCAGACAAACAACCAAATACTATAAGGGCAACAAATCCTGTCTAAACCAAATCAAACATCCCTTAGATGTACCGATCAAGGAGCGAACGCAATCGAATGCCAGTGCCGACCTTGGAAACCGTGCGCCTTGGCTTGCATTGGAATCTCGGTATGTACGTGGCTTCACAAGCACATCTATTTTCCAATACTAAATATGTCGGATATCTAAAGTCTCACTGACACTTCTCTAAAAACTTCCTGAAACTCTCACAGCCAAGGTGAGTGAGAAAGTTGAAGCCAGGAGAATATTTTATTTCATTCTTTCGGCTCCCACGTGCTAGTCTCCCGGTACGAAATCTTATATATATGGCCACATAAATTCAAGTTATATTTTTTCTTATTCTTTTTTCGAAACGTGTTATGATATTCGGATTTATTGCGATTTTCTCCTTAAAGTGAGACGTGTTGGCTGGGAATTGCGGTGAATCGTTATTGTAGGAAACTTTTAGTACCTCTATTCATTATTTAATGGAATAATAAAGCAAAACCATTAATATTTACAGATCTGTAAATGAATAAAGAACATAGATATCGCAAAAAGTGTAATCGTACTGACCATGCATTTTAAAGCAATTTTAAAGAAATCTTAGAATTGAAAATGCGTTTTTGCAAAGTTCAGGAATAAAGACTGTTTTGGATGGTGATTTTTGGCTTTGAGCAACTATTGATTAGTATCAATTGACCTTGGGACGACCTTGAACGTTATAGTCTCAATATTAGTCGAAGACAATTTGAGCACTGATGCTAATCTCGCACTAGTCACCAATAAATATTAATAACATAGCCCGATAAAACTGAGCCGACCCTCCTACCTAGAATAAAGAGTATACTTTCCCAAAAGTTTTTGATACTCTGAATCAGAATCTGTTGTCCAAATCTTTTAAGTGGCTCTAGTTTACAAAGTATATTAACCTGCAAGTGGAAAAACTGCGATTTTTGCCTATAACATATTTGGGGCTACGTAGCATAGCGAGTTATCTTTTTTTTAAATCACAGGCATCATCTCAAAGCACAAGCCTTGTCCTTTCAAATGCCGCCAGGTTTGCCTAAATATCGTTTTCTTTTGCTGATATCGGGTCCTTTGAAATTTTCATTTTCTGATCAAGATCGGCTTAGCTTTTACTTAAAAAACTGTGTAATCATACGAAAGTTAAACAGGGCCTTGATTGTGTAGGATGGGTTGTAGGCTTGTGGTTTTGGCAAGTTTTAGATATTTTATGGATTTAGTGTTGAGAATTTATGTATTTTTTAGTTTGTAGGTTAATATATGAATTTGATATTAAATTGTTGGTGTACTATAACACAACACAACTTTCATGCATACGTAATCATAACGTGTAGAATATCGAATAATAGTAAAATTTAGAAAAAATAAAACTATGAGTTGCCATATCTCAGCAAAAAAATATTTAAACAACACATTTGAGGGCACAAGGGGCAAGGTTTGTACTTTGATCATTATTTGAAAAAACGTAACCTCAAATATCGGCAGTATCCTGATTTTTGCACTATAAGCTTAGCACATTTCGGAACTAGAGCCAATTAACAGATTTGGACTTCGAATTCGAAGTCAATGCATGAAAAGCTTAAGAGACGTATATTCTGGTTTCTGGGTAAAAATCGTATCGGCCTGCATAATGGAAGTAAGTTCGTACAATAAGATATTTTACGGCTCCTCTATGGTAATACAAGCCCCTAAATGGCAGCGACACCGAATGATTTATTTTATAATTTAGTAACGTCTGAGACACATTATGGTCCCCATGGAAAGTAATTACTTGAACTAGACTCAACAATAGTGTTTTTATGAGACTGGTATCTAAGCTGAAAAAATGTGCTCGTGCTTACCATCTATAAAACACTCTTATATCAATTTTGCAACGTTTCCAGAATTCTGGTGCATATCGGGAATATGGTAACTCTTTTACTAGATTCATAATTAGCGATTTACATACCCTCATTACGGTAACTGCAAGATAATAATGATGATAATGATAATAATGATAATAATAATAATAATAATAATAATAAACATTCTTCGTTGCTTTTTTTAAGTTTTGTATGGACATTTTTAAAACAGGACGTCACGTGACGTTTGTTCAACCTCAGACTCTTGGCCATCCCTCACTATGCTGCCACGTCTCTGTCGGTGTTGGTTTTGTAATTACATACAGCTTTATTTGGCGCCATTTCAACCAGTAAACCCGTTGATTAGGAAGCGTTCTCAGTAATTCGGTTTTTAAACGCAGAAAAGGGATTTTTCTGTTTAAATTCACTAGTAGCTTGTTGAATTGGGCGCCTTGTCCAAAACCGCCGGCTGGATCTGCCCTCTAGTGGCGTCGATCTGCATCATGACAACGCTCGACCTCACGTGGCGGGAAGGACACAGTCGCAGCTGGACAAGTTTCGCTGGAGATTACTAGATGATCCACGATACAGCCCATCAGACTGATCTTTGTCCAAAAACTGAAAGAATTTCTTACTGAAAAACGCTTGAAATACGATGACATCTAGATAGAAATATGCTAAGTGACATATAAATCCGAACACCCAGTTTAAATGGTTTTATTTCAATAAAATTTTGTATAAGTACTTAATGAAGCATAATAAGTAAATGATAAAAATTTCAAAATGATTGCACTGCTTTAAAGCCCTTTGACCTTTAATAATGTGTGGATGCACCCTGATGTGCTACGCAATCTCCAACGCGCCTAGGCATCCTTCTGATCAGGTGGTCAATGTCCTCCTGTGGTATCTCATTCCAGGCAACCACCAACTCCTCTCGAAGTGCTTCTAGAGTCTGAGGAGGACGTTGCAAATTGAGCAATCTCCTACCCATCATATCCCACACGTGCTCAATTGGGGATAAGTCGGGAGATCTTGGTGGCCATGGTAACAATGTGACATCATTATGTTGAAAGAAGTCTATTGTGACTCTTGCAACATGTGGTCGGGCATTATCTTGTTGGAAAGTTGGATCTGCCAGTGGTCAAGATAGGGTAAAAGATGGGGTTCTAGAACTTCGTGGATATAACGCTGCGCGTTCATGTTACCTCTGATGAAGATTAAAGGTGACTTGGAACCATAAGCTATAGCACCCTAAACCATAACTCCAACAGTGTGATGAACATGTCTTTCAACAAAAAACTGTGGATTCCTCCTTTCACCACATCGCCTTCTAACCCTGACACGACCATCGTGCATGCCTAAACAAAATCGAGACTCGCCACTAAAGACAATACTGTTCCATTCCTGATCCCAGAGTGACCGTTGTCTGCACCACTCAAGGCGATTACGTCGGTGTTCTCGAGTTAAAGGGAGGACCCAGTGTGGCCGGTATGAAAACAAGCCAAAACTTCTCATTCGTTGGTAAAAACTTCGCATGCCAATAGGTCTTCCGTGTTCTGCAAACCATTCATTTGCAATGGACCTGGTAGTGGAGAAACGGTCCCTTAAGGCCAATAATCTTAGGCGGCGATCTTCACGGTCTGTTGTTCTACGGCGGCGTCCAGTGCCCCTTGCTCTTTGCGTACGGCCTTCTCGAAGCCATGCCTGACAACACCTAACCACAGTGTTTACACTTCTTTGCACTCTAACTGCAATTGCCCGAAAAGAAAGTCCAGCTTTTGCGAAGTCCCACTATATGGCCCCTATCAAACTCACTAAGTTTTGCGAAATCTTACAGGTCTCCGTACTCTAGGCATCGTAACCGATCGTAAAGGACGTCAAGAACCAAAATCCGCCAACGTTGATTCTTTACTGCGGCTGAAATATTCATTTTTAGAGCGTTAGTGAATTAAAAAAAAGCAGTATAAAAACCGGAATGTCCAACTGATAAGGCTGAAAATTTTTTCACTTGTTATTTACAGTAAGATAAATACATTCACCAACTTTTATTAAAATAAAACCATTTAAACTAGGTGTTCGGATTTATATGTCACTTAGTATAGTTACTAACTGCTTTAATGGACAAGCGGTATCGTTCTTTGATGACAGGATCCAAGCGCTAACAAATGTTTGAACTTTTATGTTGAAAAATGGAAAAATTTTTAGTTTCAGTTTGTAATACAATTTACATTCATAAATTAAGTTTCTCTGACTACTGATTGCAAAACCGTTCTTACTTAAAAAATGATCCTTGTACTGGCTATAATTCATTTGTAGTAGCTGTCTATGTTGCCTAAACGTCAAGTATTTACTGGTGGTGCAATGAGATCTCATACGAGCTTGTATGGCCTATAACAGTTCGGGTCGTTTTGCCACTCGTCAATAGGTGGCGTTCACTCCGAGTAGGTGTAGCGTGGGCCATCCGACTAAATAGTAGCTAGTACGAATTGTGTCGCTCAGATTCATTAATTTACACAATACAAGTCCCGAAGATACCGGAATATAAACTTCTTTCACACTTCACTCACTGAAGTTTTATACCTTTATTGGACTCTATGGGAATGTCTGTTTAAACCGCTGTGCGCCGTATTACACAAACCCTGTAACTTTTGTATAGCTTGAGATATTATTTACAAGAGATCGGCTATATTCATTAGATCCATTACTTCAAAAATGCCCTTTGATTGCGCCCCGGATTACTAAAATCGGTCCTTAGAGGCATGTATCAGCCTAGGCAAACTCTATGCAATTTTTTTCTTAGGAAATCAGTTCCCTACATTTGGTTGTATATTATATGCATCCAAGGGATTGAAATTCTGAAAAACCTTGGATGTGGACTCCATATTATTACTTTGATATTTGTTCCACGTTGTTCCGTAATATATAAGCTGAATTGAAAGCAGTAGATGGGGTATTATCAGAGGGTCGTTCTCTATATTATATGTCTGAAATATGTCCATGAACTGTGCGGCACTGTATGGGACAAGTTTTATTAATATCGTATACCAGATGTTGTTGACAGAGTTAGAATTTCGAGTCCCTAAAGGATTCAGGACGAAGGAATCGATAGCATTATGAGGAAAATTTGAACAATAAAATACGCGTCCTACTACTTAACTACAGTAAAAACTTTGTCACCGACAAGCGGTAAATAAGGGCCCAAACTGCTCCAGTCGTTAAAATAATGGAGGGGTCTGCAAAAAATAAATTAGCGTATGCGTATATCTATGATATATCTATATCGATGTCATTCAAATAAAATGTACACACGACACATTTTCCCTAGTCACTACTTCTGTTACACAGCATATTGCTGGTTCAAGCACAGGAGCCAGGATTTATTAAAACAGATCGGGAATGGAGATTTTTCCAATCACCTTTCTCTTTATTAAAAATTGCGTCTCTTTTTATTTTCATTCATGTTGGAATACTTTACCACCAGGAATATCAGCATTTCTTTATTTGATGCGAAAGATTAGCATATTACTGCTCGTTTTCTGAACCTGAAATCGCTCAAGCCTTGGTATTTATTTACGTTATCTTTTTGACGAATTTGATATAGATCTGAAGTGAGCAGCATCGGGAATACAACGGATAGATGCTATAAGCAAAACTAGAATGGAAGTTGCCTTCCAAGTTATCCAAATCTATATCAATCTAAATTAAGGTACACTGGGTCAAACCACCATAACCCAATTTTCAGTAGCTTTTTTCGAAAATACTTTTGTACGGTCGCAATTTTGCTAAAAAAATTATCGATGCTACATCGTTAAATCCTCACTAACAGTGTTTCTTATAGATTTGTGGAACATATAGGTTTGCGAAAAAGAATATTTAGTCTTTTTCCAAATTTTTGATAGATAATAAAGATGTTGCAAATTTGAACATCCATCATACATCAGCGCCTGCTTGCGCTCCTTTTAAATTAAATTCAATAACAAGATTCGGAAAATCAGCAAAAATCGGACAAACGGCATTTCCACCGTTTTTCCAATTTTGACATTTTAAACATAGGATATCAGAAGCTCACTAACTTGAAAATCCGACGGATATATGTATTTTTGTTAGTTCTTCCAGATTCCGCAGTATTTTGGGAAACAAATCTAACTTGTGCTTGTGGAACCTGAAAGAATAGACAAAAACACATATGGACGTACTCCAACGTTCAGAATATCGAAAATTAGAGAGAATCTGTGAAACTCTGGTTTTCCTGATTTTTTTGCGTCTTTCCAGAGGAAAAAATTATAATTTTGTCAGTAGATCTGAAAAAAACTCGAAAATCAATATCACCGTGGATTTCCAAATTGGCGAAGTTCTCACATCTTGACAAAAAATTAAAAAAAAAATCCGCAAATATATAAAGACCATGATTAGGTAGGATATAACAATGTTGCATGTAAAATTATTTTTCAAAAAACACGCTATTGAGGTTAGAGGCGACACATCGATTCCGATAATTGAGGCTATTTTTGTATGTGGTTTCGCCTATAGCCCTTAGGGATTTTTATCTATCAGGCTCTTTTATCAAATGATTTCTGAAAGGTGAGTGACTGGCATTACTAATTATCCGAAAGATCAAGATTAGCTTGTTGATACTTATCAGTGCAACATGTTGAGTTTGGTGAATACGGCAGTTGGGATGCTTGAATTATGTAATACCAATTATAACATACTGTACAACACCCACCATTTATGTGAAAGCTAATTACAGGTTTTAATCAGCTGTAATTAAAATGCGTTTTGCCAAACGGAATAATATTGGCCGTATAATAATCTGTGTCAGTCAATCAGTTGTAAACGACAAATTAGACTCGATATGCTATTCGTGTAAATCACGGAAAATGATTTGTTTTTTGGTTTAACAATGATTCTGCATTATTTGGAGTGACGTGCAATTGAATGTATGGTTATTATCTGAATTTCACACAATCTCATTGTAAAGAAACATAATACATGATAACAACAATTTAATTTTCGATAGGGGAAATCCTTTATGGTAACTCTCAGATAGAAAAGCTCGGCAGTTTTGTTCTCTCAGTCCTCCCGGCCTGAAGTTTGAGATTCTCAAGAAATGCGGCATACCCTCTGAAATTCGTCATTCGTTCGCTTCACTTAATACCACCGTGATGGTTACGACATTTTTTTCTTGGTGCGTCAAGTTTCCATACTATAGATATTTTCTCATCTTATTGTTAGCGTCTTGTATATACATATGCACCTATCTATATACACGTATAGTCGGGATAAATTGATGGGTTCTTGGTCTATTGTTGTCCTTCTGCACCTTGTTTAGCATCATTAGCTTCACTATTGATTGAATTTTCCGTTGCTTACATGCCTGGCAAAACTGTCAGCAGTGAACCCCTCGCCAAGCGTCAATTCCACACCGCATTCTTCAAGCAGCTGTCAAAACAACTTCTTCAAGTAGCTGTCAAAACAATTATGTCATGTGAGGACGCACAGCTTCTTTGTCAACCCAAGTTTTGATATCTGGATTCAGACCTATATCTGACAAAACGTGCCTCCCTTTCGGCGCCTTTTTTACAGAGCGCGCATCTCTCAGCAGCCAGCGAATCAATTGGCGGGATACCAGCCACCAGCAGCAGTGCGTTGTTCGACACCGCTCTGTAAACGCAGACTACGCGCAGCACTATTTTTCGCTGGCTTCTGGGCATCAGTCGCCTATATTTCGTTTAATTTATTAGGGAGGTACCAGTCAGGCCAAAATAAAGTCATGAGGGGCGTTACATTTCTATTATCTGCAGTCGTTCGCTTATATCAATATCACAGAACGATCATTTACGTGTTTACTCAGGTTACATTATGCATCACAATTTTACTTCACTTTTACTTTATTCTGTATTTTGACAAGACATGTTCCAAATCAATGAAGAAAAGTAGTGTTGACAACAAGTGGACGAAAGTGCCCTAAAACTATGAAAATAGCTGGAAATATGTTTTGTGTGACATTATAACGTTGAGCACGATTAACTTGACACATTTACAAATCTACTATTAGAAAACGTTATTTACAAAAAAACCTTTCACCTCTCTGTTTTGAGAATAAGGCACTGAGACTTCACTCCATTGAGAATTCTCAACCATCAACCATGATTTTATTATAGAAAAAGTAGATAGAATATTTTCAAGACACATGCACAGCGTAGCGAGTACCAAGTAAGATGATTCAAAGCTATTTAGGTTTGTTGCTCAAATGTATACATATATAGATCAGTAGAGGTCAACAATGTCACATATTTTTAGCATTACTATGTTAGCTTTGAATTTTCTTGGTTGCTTCTCACCACTCATAGTTTTCAAGCCATTCTAGAAGGCTTCAACTTATCTTACTTTTACCATTATTCATTCTCATTATGCCTTTTCGGGCAAAAAAAACTGGTTTATCCAATAAAACTTTGGTGAAACATGTAAATGAACCTTTGATAATTCAATAAAGTGCTGTGAAATAAAAGTAAAATCACTAGTCTTTATTTTTCTAGTTAAGGTAATTTTGAAAAAGGCTAAGATCAGGCCTTCAACGATCACCTTTGACATGGCTTTGACCCGCACCATTCCAGTTATTTCAAGGTCAATTTTTTTAAATGAAAAGTATCACTTCTGACAATCGAAAAAACTATTAAACCCTCCTTTTTTATTTCAAGATTAACTTTCTTCAACTGGCGAACCCCTCTCACCGCCAAAGGAAGAGTAATATAGCGTTCTCCTTCACTATGATGACCTTGAATGTAGAGAACCAGCTAATAATAATAATACATATTCTGGCGTAGAATTTTTCTTTCTTTCGATTGCCAGAAGTTTTAGGTCAAACCCCATTCACCGTTGAACTCCTTTTCTTGTTCAACGTTTGTGAACGCCTCATTTGGAGCCATCTTTAAAAATACATCTGGAAGAGTTCATAGCTAGTCCATTCCTTCCTTTCATGTGGCGAAGCAGATAATAAGCTACTATTTACACTTGGCAACATAGTCAATGAGACCAGAGGTCCGCTTAGAGCACTTCTTCTATTTAAGGTTCTTCCATTTCATCGTCTATTTCTTCCGGTTTATTAATTGAAACAAAAGCAATTTATCGAAAAATAATGAAAATCCGTTCATATCTTTCACCTAACTTTACTTCCAGATGCGGTCGGGTCGGTACGAAACACATTCTGCAAGTGATCTCGCAAAATTGGACGTAACAGCCGCGGACTTCGGTGGGAAGTTTTTCCTCGGAAGTAACCGGAACTCTTCTTGCAACTCTGGAAACTTCAAATAAATTGAAACTATAAAGATTTATGCTGACAGTGCTTTCGTATCGTTTTGTCATTACACTTCCATGCCGCTCCGTGACTGCGGACAGTGGCGTGCCAAAAGATATCTTTGACAAATAAAAAATTAATTAATCCAATAACTGCAAAGTACATAACAGCTGTAGACGTAAACACACTGGATGCTTATATCCAACAAATTTGGACTAACCGGAAGGAGCAATCATGCGATTTGTTTTGATTGATTATATTCGAGTAACTGCTCATGATGCAAGTGCATACTACAAGATGATTAGGCTTAAGCGTCTAGTTTGATAGTTGTTGACACTACACGTTGAATTCGTATGTCTCTGATATAACATTTAAAATTGCGTGGACTTCACTAGACTAGACAATTGCCGATAATCGTGGGCGTTTTTGTGTATAGCAAAAAGCATTTTAAGCTGAAGATAGCTCAAGAAGAGGACCATGTCACCTTCATCGTATGGGATGAGAATGGAAATCAGCTTGGCAAACTATTAGTAGGTGGCGTTTGCCACCTGCTTGCGCACAAGATTTGAGTTTTTCAAAAAACCATACTCGCTTGATTACTTCCTGTTCACCTTTCTCCAAAACCAGATCAATGACCACTCATGAGTTGCTGATGAGCAAGAAACAGCACTATCTGCAGTTTTCCACGGTCACAGAGATGGGAAGTAAAGATGTCCATTCCAGGCTTGTGATTTCTGAAGGATAAATATTCACGCAATTCTGAAAAACCCATACTATTAATAATATTTAGTTGCGCACGAGTGTATTCAGTTCCAGTTATTCTAACAAATGAAGACACGATTGGATAAAGGTGTCATGTAACAACTTCTTTGTATGGAGAAAATTCACTCTGAACATTTTTATTGGGGCTTTTTACTTTTTTCACATTTTAAATATTTAGTTTAATTCGTTTATTATTATCTGGTTTTTGCAGCAGAGTAATCACAGAATGAAAGGTTAGTTCAATGCAAAAAACAATTTGAAAAAAATTGTTAAATGACACCTTTATCCACTTGTTTCTTCAAATGTTATACATCATGAAACGCATCATGGAATGCCTGGATATACAGAGTGAATGACATGAATTCGGTAGGTACCCTTTGAATAGAAAATTGTCTTACTAAAGTTATAATAGTTATTCACTTGTTATTCCTTAGAACTGGACTAACGTAGACTACGTCTGTGGTAAGAGCTGTGCCAGTGACGTTAATTTATCTGACAAAATGGATCACCCGGAACCGGTACAAGGACTCTCAAATTGATGTCTTGAGTAGCTGCAATGGAAATAGCTTGTTCGTGTGGATTAAGTACAGCAATTACAATACCGAATTGAGCTGTAGCAATGGACGCTTTCAAAAAAATTATCTTCAAAGAAATCATTAAACGCACACAAAAAGAGTGCTCTTATATCCAGAATAACTATCTTGTCCTAATCCTCGGAATTTAGGATATAATATTCAAGTTGTTCAACTTTTGTTGGTGAGCAGCTATCTTAAATTGAAGATTATGACTTCGATATGTTTCTTGCAATGTTGAATCTTGGAACCATTGAGCTTGACAATGTCCTTAAATTCCGAATAAAATCCAGGAAAGAAATCGCTGCTAATATTCTTTCCTTTAATTTGACAAATGATAAAAGAGATTTATTGTTCTGGAAGGGGGCCATTATTCTGAACTAGAAATGAGGATGGATCCCCGTGGAACAACCGCATCAGTATTCCAGGGTTACAATCAGGACTGTTTATCATCCATCTGAAAAACCTACGAATCAAACGCCATCTAGGTTAGTAGACGTAAGTAAATTAGTCATGGAAAAGGTTCTACGAGAGCATATCAGATGCACCGAGTGCTAGGGTCTACAAGATCCTTTCCAAGGATTGTGGACAGGAGCTGAGGTCGATCAAGCGACCAGACGGTACGTTCACACAGTCCAGGAGGGAAACCTTGGAGATCCTTGCGCAAAACCACACAGGAAGTCTAACATCTGATGACTTAGCTGGTCAACTCCCGGAGAATCGGACGGATAAATGACCCCACAGGGGAGACTGGCTGGTTGTCAGAACCCTAGTAACACCTGATGCGGTTAAACGAGCGATAAAATCTTTGGGCTATCTATAGAGTCAGCTTGGCGTGAAATCACATACCACAAGGCTGGAAGGTTACCTGGACGGACAGGTTCAGTGGCGAAGTCACTCAGACCAATTAGTCTGACCGCATCTCTGCTGAAAGGCCTTGAAAAGGTAATTGATGAGTGGGGAGGGGAGCCTCTGGAGAGGCATCCTCTAAGTGTGCATCAATATGCCTATCAGGCTGGTAAATCAACAGACCTTGCTCTCAACAACATGGTTGCGAGCATCAAAGCCTCCTTGGAAAACAAGAAAATTGCCATAGTGGCCTTTTCGGACATAGAGGGAACATTTAACAATGCCTTACGAGAGTCTCTCTATGAATCAATCGCTTCCAGGGGCGTGAATCCTCTGATGTGCGGCTGGTTGAAAAACATGTTGACATGCAGAATCATAACGACTTTCTTACACGGGGAGACACAGATTTAGAGCTTGCCGGGGGTGTCCACAGGAAGGGTGTTACCTTCCCTCTTGTGGTCGCTCCTGGTAGATAATGTGATTGCCATCATCCGCCTATGGGAGGGCGAGGTTCAAACATATGCAGGCAGTCTAGTCGTTCTAGTCACAGGGAAATATTATGATACCCCGGTGCTATCAAAGGCAAGGCCCATCGGACCGAAGGCGTCATGAAAGATCATTAAGGTAAATCCTAGAACAAATTAAAAATCAGACTTTAGCAAAGGAACTTGTAACAGATATTGCATTGCGGTAAGTTAAACCCTCAGTTTCAACGAAGAATAACATATTAGCTACACACGAAATAAACAAGGTAAACCTGGAGAAATTTAAGAAGCAAAACAGAAATTGAATTGCTATATATCCGAAGAATGTAAACTCACTGGAGCAGTGTGATGCACTGGTGCTCTCAGGGAGAATGCAAGGCAGACCTCCTGAATGGAGTATAACATTAGCGGCATAAGAATTGATTAAGATAACAGGTGAGGCCTGATTCTGATTGAAGATCTAAGGTTGAGATTCATTTCGATTGCGCCTTGCCGTCATGTACTTGATCCAATATGATAACACTGACACTGCCATGATTCTTTGACTATATATGATCGCTAGATTCCGGTGTAAAAATCATAATAGCATTTTATATACAGGGTGTCCGTTTGAAAACTTTCGACCGCGGATTTATGGAAAACTACTTTTGAAGTCCTATATTTTGACGTTTCATTTTTTAAAATCAGTCGATTCGTTTTCGAGAAAATTAGAAAAATGTTTATCTATTTGTTCAGATAGATAACGATAAATACACGAAAATATAACATTTTATTTCAACAAGTGTTCAACATGTTGCCAGTTAGAGTTTGCCGAATCTACAATTCGTTTATAATTTAATACGGAAACTACCAACTCTGAAGACTAGACGAAGCAACAACCAAATAACAACCCGAATTTTTTCCGAATTCTTTTCTTTTTTTTTATATCGAAACAGAGCTCTTTCGTCAGCACAGATATCCTGGGCGAATTGTATTTATTGTTATACCTGTTTAGTTATTTGTTGCTAACGGAAAGAAAGAATTTAATTTGCTGTCAGTTACCTTTGGATAGTGTAATGATACATTGGTGTAATTGTGTCTAAATATAGGATTTGTGGAAGATTTAACGCAGATAAGTTCAGTTTTCCATCTTAAAAATCTAGACATACTTTTGATCATTCTCAAAATATGAATCAAATACGAAGCCCCTAGAAATTGCGTAACTACTTAGCACGATAATCACAATAAAATTTGCTGCGCAAGTAATTCAATAGCCCTATATCACAGTGTAGAAGTCTATCATATACCTGGGTATGAAATTCACAATGGCCGATATGTAAGTAAACAAGATGACTGTATTGTGTTAGTTATATATTCTTCACTTCGTCTATACAATACATAAAAAAAGTTTGGTTGCAATAAAGTAGAATCACGTAACAGAATAGTTGTATAGTTGACAAAAACTGAATCTTGCACTGACGCAAATGTCCTATAGCGGCTGCAAGAGGCTTACTCTTTTGTTGTATAACTGTTACCTGCAGCCCTTATACAACCTCTTAAATGTCTGAAGTGACCTATTAGGTTTGCCCATTCCGCTTGTATAGCTGTTCTAAGAGGATTTTGCCAATGTTCTTACAGTATACAATGCTGTGTAAGGAATACTGTATAATCATTCTTGCAACTCTAATAGGAGTGATAATTGTTAGTTGGGCGCTCAAATTGAAGTTTTGGGTCATTTTGGAATAAATAAAATTGTTGCTGCGACTAGCATTCCATTAGGCTGTGTACACACAGTAAATAAATTTCATCCAAAATGAGAATCTTGCAAGAGTCAACCGAAGATGATTTCGATATGCGAGTTGAGTTTTGTGAACGAATGACTGCAGCGTTTAATGATAATACCATTCGTGTAAAGAATATCTGAATGCACATTTTATCTAAATGGATTTGTTAATAAGCATAACTGCAGGTATTCGAGCAATGAAAAACAAAGCTTGTGAACTGACTAAAATAGTGTGACACCCCGGTGCCCCTGAAAGGAATACAAGTGATCCTTCATGAACTAATGATCATCTGTGGGATAAGAAATAGATAAGGTAAAACACTGAGCAAGACAGAAGATAGCACAACAAATTGCAATGCCCACAGACAATCGTAATCAACAGAAATTGCATTGCGATAGGTCAGAACCGGAGCATGAAGGGTGTGAACTCACTAAACCAGTGTGATACCCCGACGTCCCGGAGTGCACGCAAGCCCGCCGAGTGGCATCTCCGGAGCGACGCAGCGCGGATCCGGCACTCCGACGGCGGGAACATCCAGTGTTGCGGCAATTCTCCCGGCAAAAGGGTCCCGTAGGACGCTCGTTGTCTCCACGTTACTCTACGCGCCAATCTTACGAAAGAGCGTTCGCGAGTTTTCGAACGAAGTCGTGCGAGGTGAGTGACAGTGAGGGTTGACGAAGTTCGATGGAGAAACGTGTTGTTGGTGGTGGGGACTGTCTAATATATGTTATTAGGGCTAAACAATTGAGAAAACAATGTTTGCCGAATGAAAGATATTTATCAATATTTTTTAGATAAATGGCTGTAAGGACTCATAAAACTAGTTGAACGCCAGACTTCATCCGAATAATAGATACACTGTTATATAGTGCGGAAGATGAAGCCGTAGTACGACTTTACGAGTATTAGGCTGAAAATACTCTTACGTTATATTAAATATCATACAACTCCATCTCCTGCCTATCAATTTGGAATTTATTGTATTCGCCTCGTTTGCAATTCATAGATACTGTTCTATTTTCCAGTAAGCACTGTCGCTCCTGAAATAAGGTCTTAATATGTTTCAAACAATACTACCTGGCATAGAACGGTTCTAGGAGCCCTCCCTCACCAGGAGGCCTTAGCGATGTCCCCAGGATTCGTAGCCAAAATTACCTATTGAAATATATGCGGCTACCTGACGTAATAACTGCTAATGACGAGGCCAGAGCTGTCATATACCGGGTGTTTTCAAAGTTGAGTCATTTATTTTATCTGCGTGCAGAACTCGTCAGTTGAGTTGATTTACCAAAAATCACCTGTATAAAAGTTGCATAATGAAAGAAGTAAAAGATTAAAATTAAAAAAAAAAATGTTATTACACACATTTTTTTTAAAAATTCTCGACCAGTGCACTTAGCATTTTTTATTTACCACTCTTATCGCCTATCTAAAGTTGGCAAACTTTTTGTGTTATTTTATGGTTCTCACTACGAGTCTTTGGTTCGATCATTTGTATCAGTCTTTTAGTAGTGCCTATACTTTCATTTGTCTGATTATTCTGTGCGAAAAGCAATTGAACTAGTGGACATTGTACTAACATACGGAGAGTGTCAACAAAATGCAGCCTCAACATACAGCTTGTATCCGGAAAGGTTTCCTTTAAGAAATCATCCGTCCCCACGGATGTTTGTAAATTTTGTTATTACACATTTTAGAAATGGTCGAAGATGACGCAACAATGAGTACTAGAGTCGTAGAAGCTCAAGTATTAAGTTTCTCATAGCAAAGTGTGGGATACACGGATACACGCGTTACAACCCGAAGATCATCCTAGAAGAGTTGAATTTTGCTGGTGGCATTTTGAACAGTTCGGCAGAAATGGAGATTTTACAAAATTAATTTTGTGTACAGACGAGGCCACATTTACACGAAATGGAGTGCATAATTTCCACAACAATCGTGCTTGGACAGTAGAAAATCCGCATGCTGTAAAAAAACTCATTTTCAATATAGATTTTAATAATAATAATAAATGGGCTTTATTTTGCACGAAAGTACAAAAAAGGCACAAGGCTAAGAGTAACATTTTTCAATTTTTCATTAAATGTTTGGGCTAGCGAGGTACATGGCATGCTTGTTGGACAATGCTTCTTTCAACCTTGACTGTGGGGCTATTTAAAAGAGTTGATGTATCATGATAGAATAGAAAGGATTTATTTAGCTTTAAGCTACTTCAAACAATAATAAATATTGTTTACAAAAATATGTTAAATTTACAAAGAGGTCGTCACATCAAACCATAATAGTCTCTTTTTCAAAATTTTAGCATTACTAGATGTTTTTACATTAGAGGCAGATTATTGGACATTTTTACACCTTCAACAAACATTGACTTTTCTAAACCTTGAATCTAAATCTTTGTGTATGAAAATTTTCTTTTGATCAAAAGTCGTAACCTTGCATTTCACATCTTGTTCTTAGAAACTGTTCAAGATAAGGTGGAGCCTGATTATTGATAATTTTATATAAAAGAATCAAATTTGTCTCTTGAGTAATTTGGTGTATGTTCAAAAAATTTAATGCCTTTAGCATATCCTGTATATGGGTATACCTGCTATAATTTAACAAAATCCGCATACATTTATTTAATAGAATCTGTAACCTTTACTTTGCTCATTTGTGTATGTAATCAAAGGTGATGCACAATAAGCGAAATGAGGAAAAATTACTGTATTGTACTAGATTCTCACAAATTCTACGAAAATACCCGATCTTTTTGCCTAATTTACGACACATATAGTCAACATGTTCGTTGAAAGTTAGTTGCTGATCTACTATAATACCTAAATACTTAAAACTATCTACAAAATCAAGTACCTATCCCTAAATTTTCACTGGCGTATTTAAATCTATCAACTTCTTGGAATTATTTTTCGAATTCATGATAATAAATCTCGTTGTTCTCACATCTAATTTAATCTTGTTTGTTTTTAGCCATAGAGTAAGTTTACTAATTTCACTATTCATTACATCTACAATTTCGTTACTGACTGAATCACTAACTGAAATTGATGTGTCATCCGCCAGCAAATTTATGAAAGAATTATTGAGGACATTGGACATATCATTGACATATCGAATAAATAGCAATGAGCATAGTACGCTGCCTTGAGGTACTCCATGATCAACAGAAACATTACTTGATATTTTGCTTCCAATCTTTACCACTTGTGACCGCTCAGATAAATAAATAATCACCCACCCACAAGAGACCTGTATCCTTAATTCCACACATTTCACATTTTCTCAACAACAATTTCATGTCAATAGTTTCAAACGCTCTTTTTATGTCAACATAATCACTGTACCATCATCTACATATTTTTTTCACTTTGTACATACAAATTGGCATGAAGTTTCACAAGAATGATTCCTTCTGAACCCAGATCACCTCTCAAAAAGAACACCGTTCACACGTACATTCTCACTCAGCTGTTCATGCACTGTTGTTTCTATAATTTCCTCGACGACTGGCATAAGATTGATGGGTCGCAAGTCTTCTAGCTCACATGGATTTTTTGTTGGAGCAGTAAGTACTCTGGAAGAACTTCAGCAGCGCACTGAAAATGCTTGTGTTTTAATTTGTAGACACCAGAATTTTATTTTTGAAGCTTCTAAAGAGTCGGGATTCGCCGAGCAAGATTTTACGTTAAGCGAACGAATGGGTACAATAATAAACAGTTTTTGTAAAAAAGGTATCCATTTCACATGATAATGATTTTTTTAAACAATTTTTGATAATAACTATCTCATTATGCAACTTTTATATAGGTGATTTTTGGTATATCAACTTCTTTTGACGAGTACTACAAGCTGTTAAAATAAATGACTCAACATTGAAAACACCCAGTAGACTCCAATAAGTTAGTCTGTCTAGGGATGCTGGCGATGCTATAACGACGTTTCGGAGAGGAATGGATTTAACCAACAAGTATTCGTGTTCATAGATTATTCACATGGTAGTTTTGTTAATCTTTTCCAAAATACGGCTTTATATTCAGAAATATAATTTTTATGTCTCTTAGTTGTATTCAAAAATCTGAAATAATTTGTATAATGCATAAAAGCCTGTTTCTGTGAAAATGTCTGTAACTATGTATCTAGTGACATATAATCCGAACACCCAGTTTAAATGGATTTATTTTAATAAAATTTTGTATAAGTACTTAATGAAGCATAATCTCCTACCCATCATATCCCACACGTGCTCAATTGGGGATAAGTCGGGAGAATCTTGGTGGCCATGGTAACAATGTGACATCATTATCTTGAAAGAAGTCTATTGTGACTCTTGCAACATGTGGTCGGGCATTATCTTGTTGGAAAGTTGGATCTGCCAGGGTGTCAAGATAGGGTAAAAGATAGGGTTCTAGAACTTCGTGGATATAACGCTGCGCGTTCATGTTACCTCTGATGAAGATTAAAGGTGACCTGGAACCATAAGCTATAGCACCCCAAACCATAACTCCAACAGTGTGATGAACATGTCTTTCAACAAAAAACTGTGGATTCCTCCTTTCACCACGTCGCCTTCTAACCCTGGCACGACCATCGTGCATACCTAAACAAAATCGAGACTCGTTACTAAAGACAATACTGTTCCATTCCTGATCCCAGAGTGACCGTTGTCTGCACCACTCAAGGCGATTACGTCGGTGTTCTCGAGTTAAAGGGAGGACCCAGTGTGGCCGGTACGAAAACAAGCCAAAACTTCTCATTCGTCGGTAAACACTTCGCATGCCAATAGGTCTTCCGTGTTCTGCAAACCATTCATTTGCAATGGACCTGGTAGTGGAGAAACGGTCCCTTAAGGCCAATAATCTTAGGCGGCGATCTTCATGGTCTGTTGTTCTACGGCGGCGTCCAGTGCCCCTTGCTCTTTGCGTACGGCCTTCTCGAAGCCATGCCTGACAACACCTAACCACAGTGTCTACACTTCTTTGCACTCTAACTGCAATTGCCCGAAAAGAAAGTCCCACTATACGGCCCCTATCAAACTCACTAAGTTGACGAAATCGTACAGGTCTCCGTACTCTAGGCATCGTAACCGATCGTAAAAGATGTCAAGAACCAAAATCCGCCGACGTTGATTCTTTACTGCGGCTGAAATATTCATTTTTAGAGCGTTAGTGAATTAAAAAAAAAGCAGTATAAAAACCGGAATGTCCAACTTATAAGGCTGAAAATTTTTTCACTTGTTATTTACAGTAACGCCGGCTCCACACGTTGGCCGCAACGTTGGCCCCAACGCTACTCGCCCAACGCGTGTATCTAGAAAATGATAAAACCGACAATCGACAGCCAACTACCTACGGTCGCTCCAACGTTGGGGCCAACGCTATTTTCTAGATACACACGTTGGGCGAGTGGCGTTGGGGCCAACGTTGGGGCCAACGTGTGGAGCCGGCGTAAGATAAATACATTCACCAACTTTTATTAAAATAAAACCATTTAAACTGGGTGCTCGGATTTATATGTCACTTAGTATAACTTATGCGAACCAACGTCCAAAAACTATATGTAACACTGTTACACTTTCTGAAGTACTTGGAAACGGTTAGAACATATTCTAAAAATAAATATTGTTTTTGCACTCAACTAGAAAACTGGTTCGTTCAGTAGCATAATACAAGTCCTGTCAACGCAATGGCCAGGAATGGAATTTGCCTTCATTCTGCAAGTGAAGCGTACTATCCAAACAGAGACGAGGTTGTCAGATCAGTAAATATCTGGCTTACTTCAGAGTTCAAATAGAACAGCTGATCTAACCTTGATCAGAACAAAACCTGAAAAATTACATGGTTTATTTGTCTTGAAGCTACTTTCACGATAAAAATATTTACATAGTTTGCTGTCACGAATATCTGCAAGGATATAATTATAAGCAAAGTTAAAAATCTGACAACTTGAATTCAGTATACACATAAACAAAATAAACTCAACCCGAACGCTGCAAGCGATGACAAATCTCACTCAACTGAAGTTAATCTGAAAATTTCACCTCGTTTAAACCGGGTTTTGTTAAAGAGAACGTGCAATAAACTGAGCAAAGTGAAGTGTGGTGAGCGTTTGTGACACTATGTGTAAAACTAACGCCACTAAAAATAAATTCCGCCTAGAGTTGGAGTATGAACTTTGTTTTACCAATTAATTATATTTCAAATAATAAAAAAAATAGGTTCCCTCACTGTATCAATAATGAGTACAGTCCAGGTTTTGATATAATAATGGTTCTAATAGTAAAATGTTCAGTGGATGGTCGAAGTGTGTGGGGTGACGTTCAGCTCCAGTCAAGTCCTTCCTTTAGTTCAAATACCTCTAACGCTTTCACATGTCTTGTATTGCTACTGACCTTTTGAATTTTAAAAATACAAGACATCTTCTCTACATAACAAAGTACCTTTCGGTATTAGTCTTATATGAATTAGAATCAGAAGTATCGCTTTTCGTAAGTTATTTCAGCTTATACCTGTGTAAGGCTTGACTTGATGTTCATGCTGCGAAATAAAATCTTTCATCTCCTTTTTTTAACGCTGATCAGAAAATTTCCCATGAAGCTCATAGTATGTGTACAATTTAACTGGTTTTCTTTGTAGGATTACATACCGTAACAAGAAACGCAGCTAAAAAGATCCCGTTTGTAGCCTAGATTGCAGTCGATTTAATTAAACCTTGCTCAACGTACCAATGTGGTTGGTTCGATCAACCCTCTCGACAAAGCTTGACAGGTAGTTAAGATATCAAAGTGAGGTTTTGAAAATGCTCTTCGACATCGATGTTGAAATAAGCTTGGTAAGCAGTTGAGATACTAAAGTGAGATTCTGAGAAACTGACAGCTCTGCAACTAACCCGAAAAATTGCCATTTTTAACCCAGTTTTTCCAATAAAAGTTAGGTTACCCTCGCTACGTGAATAGATATAATAAAAAAGTCATCTGGGTAAAATAATTAATCTCATTGAAGTCTAGTCCTGCTAATTTCATTGCGTAAGTTTGCTAATCAAACTTATATCCGGAAGTACTTGAAAAAATCACTAACAGTGGGTCATGTAGATCCCTTTCATGAATACCCCGATTTCCTTTGAGAACCGACCGGCTCAAAGCTGCTTCTTTGTGAACTCATTAATTTGTGTTCGCTAACTAAAGGGTTTAAAAAAACAACAGGAAATGTCGTGCTCATTAATTCACGTAATGGAGCATCTAAGCGGGCAATACTTTTACTGCATTATCTAGCAACATACGGCTACATTTTTAGTATGACACATTGCCGACCTACTTTCGTATATTGCTGCCAAGTTATCGGAATCCTAGTATATGTAACATAATGTTAGTGACGTCAGCTGCTGCGACGCATAAAATCTCGTCAGTCATTCTTGCCTGATTTTCTAGCCCTTCTGATGAGGAGTTCTGAAAGGATCTGTTTACACATTGCAGACAATCCTTATGCCTTTACATAGATTATACTTTATTTTGTCGTTATTGTATACAGGTATCAATTTTCAACAAATTCTCAGATTTTTTATACATCTCGTATTATTAAGGGGGTTAGATGGTAGAATAGATATATTATCTAAATCTCGCCTCCTGTAACACTATTACAAATAAAAAGACGTTAATTGTTATCATTATTATTATTATTATTAATATGGCCGTGATACAGCAGAGACGTAGCTGTTATAGCTGAGATATATGGCCGGGCCTATGCGGCAATATGTTTATGATGGCAGGGCTATAGTTTCCATAGTTATATCCAAATATTGCAGAAAAATATTGCTCATTTAGATGCTCCATAACAGCAGATGGAATGATGTTACAATCGAATATATTACCCTACACGACTAGTAGTAAGAAAATTATATGCATACTTCGTTTGAGAGCATTATTGAGTAATGGGGCTTGATTCTAAATGAGTTTCGACCGTTGAAATTAATTTCGATGGCGCCTTGTGACGATATACTTGATTCACTATGATAATTTTGACATCTGATTATATTGATCTTCTATATTCGAATTTTCATCGCAGTGTCAAAATTATCATAGCATACAAGGCGCCATCGAAATAAATTTCAAGGGTCGAAACTCATTTAGAATCAAGCCCATGGTTTATTATTGCTGAAACAAAGTGTGAATTGATCTGCTACCTCTTTAATAAGGAACAGTCTCAAATATTTCTGCATAAGCTCCGATAAACGACCTCTATCAAGATGCAAAAAAAATCGAAAACCGAATTACAGTCTTGAATTGGCAGTCCCTTTAGCCCTTAACACGTTTCTCCATCAACCCTTAGTCAAGTACATCAGATCAACAAGGGATAATCCAGACTCAGTGAGGTGCTTCGAAGTATTTAGTGTTGTGATATCTCAGTGTTTGGTGGTTCTGTTATGCGGAGTGATTTTCGAGTTACGTTAAGAGGTTTATTTAATGAGTGTGATATCCCTGAAGGTATTGAGCAATTGGTAAATTAGCAATAAGATTGGAGAGAGTTTGTTAAGCGGTGCAGGTGGTGAGATTTAACCTGTCAGATTCAGAATGAGGTAGTCTCACTCTAGTTTGTGACACAAGGTTCGCAGAAATAGTTAAACTGGACGCCTACTTAGCCATTCTATTGGGCTAACAATAGATAACAAGATACTGAGACTGTTCTTCAGATATCAATCTTTGTTCCAGTTGCGTGCTGTTAGGTATTAATGATATTCTAAAAGCCAATCCACAGTTTTGTGAACAACGTGAGTTTGAATGGAGGTAATCAAAATGCGTGTAGCTAGAGAAAAGGGGATTAAGAACGACCTGATCTCTCACGAAAGACCAGGTCATCGCTGCTTGTAAAACGCGAAAACAGTTATACATCCGATTTTGATGAAGGACCCAGGCAATTTGTTCCGCCTTGCTTGAGTTCAAGTCACCAATGACATGATTTGGCACGGGCAAGTCTTGCCAGTTGTGATAGTCTCAAGATTGGGACTTTCCTTTACCAAGCGTGTAGTTAATGCAATAATAATAATTTTCCTAATAAAACATATGCCAAAACTTTAAGGTAAGATATTAAGTTTTAGAAAAAAAAATCGAATGGTTCATCCCAGTTCTGCATCCAGCGTGAAGAGATAGCGACATACGTCAGTGCTGCGATGCGTGTAGGTTATTATAGCTGTTTATTTACAAATGGATTATATCGTGCAAAGACCGTTGATACAGCATTATCTGAGATTTGAATAGTAGTACTACTTTATTACCTTTTCGCTTATACCTTAGCGCACAATAGCTCTATTATAGTCCTTTCCGAAAAAGAAAGTCCAAGCTTTCATGACTTCTTGTATTGTACTTCCAAGAGCTTAGAGGAACTTAATCAGATGAATCCGAATACCATAGATATTTGTGCTCCAATAAGTTTGACCTTAGATCAAAGCTGCAATACTTACCTCTATCTCCTCATGTAAACACTTGTGTTCTTCGCTGTTACATGGAAACATGGATACACGAAGTAAAATAAACCAAAACTTTCAGATCTCGAATACGGATTTCACTTGAACGAATGCACACAACACAAAACCAAAATCTACAGTAAATCCTGGTTCTTAGCTGGCTTGTCACGTATGCCCTTATCCGCACACGGTTTCCTTTTAAACTGTACACGACAAACTGGGAATCCGTCGTATCTCCTCTGTCCTCATATCAGTAGCTGGCCCAGCTTTGGAACAATGGTTCAGGAGCGTCGACATTCGGTCTTATCTAAAACAATAAAATAGTTATAGTAATGAGAAAATGGAACTGCTGTCCATACCGCAATGCCCACACCTGGTGTAACTCGGAGCAGCGCAACGGCGGGTAATCTCAAAAGCTAGAAGTAGTTGGCACTAGTTTTAGGTTGTCGTTCATGTCTAAGGCCGTCTGTCACGATACGAATATTGTTAATGTAGTACCAAATTTTGTGAGAAAATTCGTTACTGAACTTAGTTCCCAATTTGTTTACAAATTACAATCCTGTCTTGTGTACTAAATTGCGTACGAAATCATGCGCAGTTGGTAGAAAAAAAACTGTAACTGTCAACTTCTAACTGCCTATTCATCACGTCAAGGTCATTCTAATCACACGTTCCTTTGCGGTTGCTACTTTATTCCTTTATTTTTAAACGACTAGATGATTGTAGTAAATTGTAGCTGGTCCCGTAATTCGCATATATTATATGCGACTGCGGCAGCAGCGATCTACGTTGTAGCTAGCTGCCCACCTCATGAGAAAACGAAGTACCTAAACGAAACCTTAAAATAATTTGGTGCCAAAAATGGATAGGGAGACGGACCAGGGCATGTGTGTGCTCCATCTGCTGAATAAAGAACTTCTATTTTAGGATCCACTAGTCTTTAAGTCATTCTGATTTTATCCAGCGCAACTTATTTGGCTTTTCTGTTTTTATAGGCCTTGCTTTTTACAGCATATAAGAAATCTATTTGAGGTACATAGAATAGTAATGGTCTAAATCCACTCTTTTGAAAATTCGCGTCATTCACATACCTAGAACTATCAGTATAAAGCTAGTCTAACTCCTTGTTTCAGTCTCCGGTCAATAGATGGCGCCATCATACTCTTATTGTGATTTGAATTCAATATGGTTCACTGTAAAAATGGTATAATCATACAATCAGTAACATCTGAGGAGTTAGACCATTATTATCCTATGTGCCTCATTTCTCATATCCGCTTAGTGATATGTCACACTGCTCTCCTCATGATGACATCTTTTAAGTTTTCAATCTACTGATAACATCAGCTAATGAAAGTGTTTGAGGTTACATCAGCCATTGTACTACTCCAAATGCGCAGTAGTCGTCTGATATTACTTGGAACAGTTTCTACAGAATTCAGCACTAAATTTGTTCATACAAAATTATGTACTAAATGTTGTCTGACTATCTTTTGTTCCAAATTTAGCACAAAATTTCAGATGGTGACAGACGGCCTTAATGTTATAAATAGATTTAGGCGAGGTTCGCAGGGTGTTCGAGAAAAAGAAAAGAGAATTGTCAATTTGCAATCCATATCCTTACTAACTCAAATGTCTTTTTGTCATCTGCACGGGTATCATGTAAAAAATCTATAAAACGTCAAAAAAACCTATAAGATGTCAACTTGCTGACTAGGTACTTTTTAGGGCGCAAACAGTCATTCCACGTTTGCTCACTAGGATCATTGTGAACGTCCATCTATGGAGAAATCACTCAACTAAACTACGCATTATTGGTTGCATAGTTTTGTGAGGCTGAGTGATCCGGGTCTGTAGTTTTTATCTCTGAGAAGAAAGTTGGTTGAATAACAAGATCGCATCTGGATGATTATGTGTATTGGTCTGCATGTGTATAAAATCTGTACGAGAAAATCATTACTGAATATGCCGAATATGACGGGTTATTTATACGTTGTGCTTTCTGAAGAGAGGTTATGTTCAAAGTTATAAATTACGAAAAACTGAGGAGAATTACGGGAAATCATCGCCGCGCCCGCATTGTGTGTATTTACGGTTAGCATGATATGGCTTGTAATTCAACAGTGTACAGTGAATACAATTATTTCTTATCTCTCACATTTTTGAAATTCAGCAAATTTGTATACCTATGTAATTTCCAGAATGGATAAGAAAAAGTGGATGCGCAACTAATTTCTAGCTTTGAATCTCAATTAAGTGTATTTGAGACAAGAAGCCAATGTAGTTATCATCAACACATACAACTTACAGCTTAGACCCCCAGTAATGCCATCTCAGAAGCACATTTTACATCACATCAAAGCCAAAGATTGATAACAAGCCTCACAACTAAGTGCTAAGTTAACATCTTGTTGAATAACCTGCATGATGTCAAAAAAAAACAGCATAATGTCAAACAAAATCAGCATAATGTCACTTTTCATGATACGTGATACACATGCTGGTTTTGATATTTGTTTGATCTTTATCGCCAGTATATGGTTGACTCTTTCTATGTAGAGTAACTCAATTAATCCTAAAACGCATAACTTCCTTGATCTGTACCGGTATATCTGCTACTAAAGCTACGCCATCGTATGTGACATTTTATAGAGTTGCTATTGGCGTGACGTAGATTTTCCCGTCGTTGATACGTTTATAAATATAGAAAAGCTCTTTATACCTCAACACCCTTGTGTTTGTGACAACATAAAAACTGTTCAGTATCAAAAAACATGTGACATCGTGGGATGTAAAACCTGCAACAGAAACAAAGCTTTTTTTCTAAATCATGTTCTTTCAAACTTGATCCATGCCCCTTGTCCTTTTTCGACAACGGGAAGATGAAAAAGGCCCTTAATCAAACGTCAGCATAGCGTTGACAGTAGCAAACTTCCAACGGCAGCGCGTTTAAAAAAAGTAAAACCGAGGATTCCAATCCTGTTTAAAATTTATGAGGTTGGCAACACGGCCGCATCGCTTCGACAGAAATCTGGCCGCCTGGGATTTGCATAAAAAATCTCGGCCAATCAAGTGCTGATGCGCGGAAATTAAGTTCGTTTGCGTAGGCGATTAAGCGGTGTTACGTCTGTGAACTTTCGGTGTCGCATTTGAATATTTGTTGTTTTATTTCAGAGAGACTTGGAGTTTGCCACTAAATGGAAATATAAGAATAGAGCGGCACGTCCACTCACATTTGAAAGTTTTTGGCTAACGCAGTTGTCAGTGAAACCTCAGTAACCCCACCAACCATCACTAAGTGACAATGCAACCAATGAGTAGCTCATCAAAGCGGTACCTCGATACTTATGTCGGCAAATCAGGAAGAGCCTGAGTTTCCTAATTCTCAGAATGACAGCTTGCTCGATCAACGGACAAGTGTCGCCTACTTGCAATGTTGCGTACCGCAAACAGACTTATCTTCTGCATCATAAACTGATACCACTCTTTTGCGGCCTTGGAAAAAGCATCCAAATTGTAGAACATTGCGGAATATGAAACTTATACACACACGCTAAATAGGATCTGTTTGCTGTCCGTCTCTGCGTCGATGGCCAGCCGTATGAAACATTGCTAACGAGCATGGAACAACGTGGAATACGGTATTTTGGAGGACACAAAATCGAAAGAAGGGAGTCAAGCGAAGGATACTTCGCAAAATGGAAAAGTCGACAGTACTGACAAGTGGCCGTTCCTTAACGACAGTCTCGACCAAGAAATATTATCTTAATACAGGAAAGTCATCACTAATAACCACAGAATCAACCATAAGGGAAACGAAATTGACGCTTAGAGCCTCTGAAGAAAAATTATTTTACATCGTACGTAAACCCTATCAGTGGTAGCCAACCTTTTCAGTGATTTGAGCTACTTTGATAATTTGAGAATAAACAGTAAGCTACCTAGTCGTAAGCAATGTAAGCCAACTTAAATGAAATTATACACAGTTATATGCGACATACATGTGATTATTTTACTGATACTAATACATACTAATAAACTTGAATAAGCTAGTAACTAATACATACTACAAAACTACATCCATTCCTATCAACCGTAAGTGTTTGAAAAATAAACAAAATTTTTCGTCAGCTACAATGGCATGTCACAAACGATTTAATAAAAGGTAACTAAAAATAAAAAAGCAACGCACTATTCTAAACAAAAATCTGTCCAGATAAATAATGCGTGTTCAGTGAGAAGCCTGATACTCAGACTCACTGACAATTTTGGAGTATAATTTGATACGTCATTCGAAAATAATTATCCATCTTCATCTGTAAGTCGATTACGGCATTTGTTTTAATGAACTTCATATTTGAAAAAGGAGATTCACACAAATAGGTTGAACCAAATAACGATTTCACTTTCAAGGCAACACTATACATAAAGCTTGTAAGGCTAAATCATTTTGAAACGCAAGCTGCAAACCGTTGGATATCAATTTCGATGAAGGGTGAAACAATAAATTGCGCCTCTATAGCAATTTCGTGGTATTTAAAATTTAAATATTTAAATTAAAAATTTAAAATAAGTAAATTTTTGTTTTATTATTCTTAGAGAAATAATTTTTTTTATGATAGTTTAATAGTATTGTAAACTACTTTCGAAGTTATCCTTCAAGTTAGAGACTATTTCTACATGACATTTGCTGTCATGGTTCTAACGGCTTTGACATATCTTTTCCCAAAACTCAGGCTTTCGATGACCGCTTTTATATCAGAAATCATTTCTGCTAGTTCTTTGCCTCTTCCCTGAAACATCAAATTAAGTTCATGTAATTTTTCTGTAATATCCACAAGAAAATCCAAAATCTCTACGCCAGATTGAATTTTCCAGTTCCGGAATCGGTTCATCACGTTATTTGAAAAGTTGAACTGTGGTAGATTTGATATCATTAAAACGATTCAGCACTCGTTCTTTACTTAAGCATCGGACTTCAGAGTGAACAAGTAGTTCCCCGTATTGACACGAGACCCTTATCACGACCCGCCATAGCTGTAGCGCCATCGGTTGTCAAGCCTACCATTTTCGATATAGGAATTTTCTCAGAAGAAATAAAATTTTTAGAGGAAGAAAACGAGTCCTGTCTAGTAGTCTGTCCTTTTGTTTATTAGTAAAATCACTAAAAACCAGCCTGACGAGCATGGCCATCCGAGAGGTGTCAAAGACATCTGTGGATTCATCCAGCTGCAGTGAAAAATAAGCACAGTTA